AAAGAGGGAGAGGGTGGGAGCAGGCTAGGGCCATGCTTGTGTCCCCACAGCTGTGAGGAACCCCTAAACAAGGTGCCCATGGACCCTGCATGATGCCCATCTGCTCCCTCTGCTACTGCTGGACTGGAGGATGGCACAGAGCACCACCAAATGATGTCTGTGCATGGAGGAGGCCCAATAAACTGGAAGTTCAGTCCTGCCTGTGTCACCATACAGTTGCCAGATCACAAATCCTGACAGTGCCCACCCACATCAAAAACCAAGGGACAAAGCCCAGCACTATGAGGTTAGGAGATGATGGGAAAGGGAAGGACAACTCAGCAGCACTCCAAAAAAACAAGGCTTCCCTGTAGGCAAGGACCCAGGACCCTGGCAGTGTGGGACCACCTCTCTCAAGCTGCACAGCAGACTGGAGCGTAAAGGTGGCTCACCACCAGCATCTGTCCCCATCCACCCAGCCAGCAGCCCAAAGCCCATCCTTGTCTGCCTGCTCTGCCCCAGCCTCCCTCCATTTTCCAGGCAGTCAGTGCTGACAAGTTTCCCTGCCTGAGAGCCCATGCACTCGCTGCACATCTGTATTGGGTTTATGTGGTAAGGTAATGGAGGGGTCCACCCATCACAACATCACACCTAGAGCCCCCACCTGAGCAAAGCCTGCAGGAGAATGTGGCAAATCAGGCCCATGTTCAGGATGAAAAACAGACCCTGTGGAAGCTCTGTAGCCAATCTCCACTTCATTTTCTGATTAAGACAATGGTTGAAATTACAAAAGCAAAGGGTAAACAGAAGCTCCCCACAGACCAGGAGCTGACTGGAATCCAGGCCAGACGTCCAGAGATAATTTTATTGGTGGCATTAAACTGAGTTATGAGGTTTTTACAAGCCAGCCACTTATGAGAAATCTATTAACAGTAACTGGACAGGCAGAATACATCTTGACAGAGAGCAGTATGGGCATTAATTGGGACAATCCATAATGGGACAGGCCCCCGGGAAGATTTCATCGCTGCTTTCATTTGCTTCCTACAATTTCTGCTTAGAATCAGCAAAGTCATGTCCCCCCCCCAAAAAAGAAAAAAGCCGCCCATTAATCGGCTAATGAAATATGAAAATGTTTATGGGCCATTCCATCTTCCTAACTGCAGGTCTATAATCCACCACCTCAGACACACAGCTCTACCAGCAAGAATTTATACCAGAGCTGCGTCATTTTACGACGCCTTCATTATATTTGTCTTGTTAGATACAGTTTATATATTTATTTCATGAGTGAGGGGCCCACATGTTAGACAATTCGCCGCATTTTACACAATGATGTTCACATATTACTGCCCATGTTGAAACATCTCCCAGGGCTTACCTGGGAAGGAGACCTTCATTCTGCTAGGAATGGGCCTGTGAGCCCAGCACTGCTCTGGAACTACCATGGTGGCTTGGCCGCAGACCTGCTGGGGCAGCACCTCTTGGAAAGTCCGCCCTGCTCTGCAGGAGCATCCTGCCCTGGTGATACTGCCCCAGCCCTCCCCGCTGGCTGCTGGAGAGCTTGCTGCCCCCTCCACTTTATAATCCTCTCCACTTTATAATCCTCTTCCTAATGTTCAGTACTAGTCTGCTATAGATGAAGCTTTTCAGAATGAAAAAGGTGCACCTGGTCTGTATGGCACAGGTAACAGAAACCTGCTTTGTTCTGCTGAACACCAGGCTTGTGATTTATAATTAGGCCAGAGAAAATACACCCAGCACCTCTTCACACTGAGCTCTCAGCACATCCTTTTTACATATTTGCTCATCACTGACTGCTTGGAGCAGACACCAGCATCCCTGCAAACTGGAACACTAGGAAGAAAAATGGAGCCTGGGCTCAAGGGGCTGTAGAGACTGATTTACAAGGGAAGATTAAAAGAGCTAAATCTGGGCTGCTTGGCTGAACAACAACTAATGGGGGAGGGCTGGATAACAGGCCACAGACATCTGAGGGGAGATGCCCAGGCCCAGACCACATCCCAGGGATGCTCTCTCCGGCCCAGCCTTGCCCTTATAGCTGGCAGGCTCAGGGAGCACCATGCTCCCACGCAGGCTTGGGGACCCCCATTGCCACCGGGTACAGCAGGCGGGAGCAGCTGGGCAGCCCTGGCACAGTGCAGACCCATGCCAGCCCCGGGGCCCCACCGTGCCTTCCCCCAGCTCCCCCCGGCCCAGGGGCTGCCTGCAGCGCTGCACCCCCAGAGCGGAGAGACCCCCACGCTCAGCTCCTCTGGCCACACACAAGGGCACCTGCAGCAGCCAGGGCCATATGGGAGGTGGGCAAAAGGCCGATCTGTTCCGTTTGTTACACAGGAAAACAGTTTCCTTGTCCTAAAAGGCTACAGCCGGGAATTTTACAAAGCCACAAATTACTTACTAACAATTAAATAAAAATTAAATGTGAACAGAGGTGCACATTCACTATTAAAAGCGATTAAACAGAAAGCACAGATACACAAATAAAAAATTACTCTGGGGCTAGAAAAGAAAGAAAATCAAATAAAAACTGGCCCATAATAAAGGCGCACTCTGTTTGCTCCAACTCATAAAGCCTGAGTTCATCAATTTTCTTTAAATATTAGCAACTTAATTAAATCTCCTTTTTTCCCTTTAATCCTCTCCTCTATCTAAAATAGATCTGTCCACATGCAGAAGTTTGTAACTAGTGCTGACCCCATAATTCTATTTAAAAAAACCTAAAGAAATCCACATCAAACTGACAGCGGCCTCAGGGGAAATTACAGTTCAGAAGAAGGATTAGCTAGAGAACCCAGACTTTATGGAAATGGTATCGGCCCTTTGAAAAGCACACGGAGGTGTGCAAATGGCGTCCGCAGAGGGCAAGCCCCAGTTGCGCCGCAGGGTGCCACGGGTCCCCTGCGCCAGAAGGCTGCTGGACCCAGAGGCTGTGCCAGGAGGACTGACACACTGCCTGGGGAAGTCCTGGCTGATCCAGGTGGGCACCCCAGCTTCTCCCAGCCCCAGGGAAAAGCCCAGCCCCAGGATGCTTTCAGCCCTCAGCAGCAATATACACAGGGAACGGTTTTCAGTGCAGGCTGGCTGCTTGTTCCAAGCAGGGTGGGTGATGCAGAGAATGATGTGGAAAGGGGCTGTAAAATGGGTTAGTTGTAGGCTCCTGGGTTCGTTTTGGAGCTGAGGCGTTGCTAGGCTACCTCTGGAGTTTGACAGGGCCTGATGCTTTGAGTCGCTTCCCAGGGGAGCTGTGAATTAGCCGTAACTGCATCGAGCGGCGTGGCGGAGGAGTGCGGCTTTCAAGTGTCTGCTGAAATGGACACAAATCACTGCTGAAATCCCAGCTGGCCCTCAGCCAAGAAGCCCATTTTCAAGCCTCCTCCAGACTCCTGACCGGACGGCTGAGGCCATCAGGCAACCCTGCTGCATGGGCTCTCGGGCATTTTCCTTTGAGGAGAGCCCATGTCCCCACAGGAGCAGCTCTAGCTGGCTTGCAGCATGCTCCTCTGACTGGTCCCATCAGCTTGCACTGCCTTCATCAGTATACAAATAACCTCCCTCCCGACACGTGGGAGCCACAGGGCAGCTTCTCCACAGCTCCCAGAAAAGAGCGAAGCCCAGCAACCTCAAGGCAAAATGCTCCTTCAATCTCAGGACACCAGGAGCGGAGGGAACAGAGGTCCACGTCCAGCCCCAGGAGGTGACACACCAGGGAAACAGCAAGTTCCCAAAGACAGACCCAGTCCTGCCCGGCAAGGCACTGCCATCTGCCAGCAGCTCCAGGTTTGCCAGCAATCCTCTCCACAGGCCGCGCAAGCCAGGACATCATGATTAGCCACCCCCTTGCAGAGAAAGGAGACTGCTGGATGGAGATCAGGGCTTTTCCAGCACTGGGAGACCAGCGTTCTCCAGCAAGCACTATCACACCCTCTTCACAGCAGAGCAGGATGCACTGCTTACAACAAGCCCAAAACCTCCCAGCGCCTCTCCCTGGAAATTCATCAGTGCCACTGCCTGTGCAAAGCCCAGCAAGGATCTGGCCCTGGGAACAGTGTAGTAACACAGTGCAGCTCCCAGCCAGCATCCAGGGGGACCTGCAGCACAGTCCTGATGGGCATAGCTCCTGGCAAGCTCCAGGAAAGCTCTGTCACCAGTGCTGGCCCTCAGGGTCCCTCCAAGCCCTTCACATCCACACCAAGCACTGTCCACACCATGCTGTGCAGGCAAGCCTGAGACAATAAATCCTGCAACAAATTCACTCTGTCCACAAACAAGAGCAGGATTTCCATGTCACAACTAGAGTGGGACATCTCCGCCAGCCCCAGCCTGCAGAGATTATTAGCTAGGAAACAGCCACTGTAGCCTGCAGGTCCAACAGAGCACAGTCCTTCCAGGACCAGGAAGGAGCCACAGGTAGGGGCCATGAAACAAACCCCAGCACGTTATCCCCATGCTGAAGGGGCTATAGGATCAGCAATGGACCATCTTCCAGAAGTCAGGGTTGCATCTACGGCAGCAACTGCTGGGGCAGGAAGGCCCTTGGTGCTGCAGCAGCACTTTAGCTCCCAAGAGATGGCAGGGAGCAGCATGAGCAGATGTCCAGTCTGCACATCGGCTCCAGCCCAGCAGGTCCTCCCATAGAGATGCAGCTAAGCCTTCCCCACTGCCCCCACAACACCCAGAGCTGCATCCCTTCTTGCATCCAAACACCATGGGAACACAGCACACAAGTGGAAGAACAGAGATGTCAAGTTTGGTGTGCTCCTGCCCTAGAGTGTCCGGGAGCACATTAACCTCTCCACCCCCAGCAGGGACCGGGCTCCTGCCATTCCAGTCCACAGAATACTTCTCTAACCAAGCCCCCATGAGCAACCTTCATGCAGGCCCTCTTTTCCCCCCACCAGGCTCGACCATGCTGCCAGCATGCCCTGCTCTGCCACTGGCTTGGTCAGCCCCATGGAGACATAGGGTTACCTTACCTTCCCCACATACAGTGGCTCCGTGCCCGTGTACTCCTCCACCACAAAGAATTGATTCCAGACCCAGCCACGTTTCACTCTCCCGCCGGCCAGCAGTGCAGGGTCCCCTGGCTGCGCTAGGCCAGGGCCCTGCACTGCAGTGTGCACGGCCCAGGCCCCCAGCTCCTGGATGGCGCAGAACAGCAGCAGCATGGTCCACGAGAAGCCCTGCAGACCCTTCGCCATTGCACTCTAGGAGGCTGCATGAGCAGTAGCTTCTGAACAGGCAACTAGCATCCTTTAGGGAAGAGGAGGAGGAAAGTCCACACTAGCAGCGTAGGGCTCACCGGTCAATGCAGAGCATCTCCATCCCCGCTGCATGCAGTGTCCTGCAGCTGGAGCACTCCTGTCCCAGTAGGCTAGAGTCACAAGTGTGACAATGGGTGTCCTGGGCCGCCTGCTGCTATCATGGGAGCAGACCATGCTGGTGCCTCGCAGGCTGCTCCTGTGTCTCCAGAGAAGAGTCTGGCAGCTGGCATTTGTCCCCAGGGACAGAGCAGCACAGCTCCATCCTCGGCTGCTGCCAGTCTCGCTGGGGAGCGGGGTGATGCACAGCCTGTTGCCCACCCCACTGGCAGGCAGGGAGCTCCGCAGCAGAGTGCAGGGCACAGGCACCCGCAACTGTCATTCGCAGGAAGTGAAGGGAAGCTTTTCCACGTACGGTTTCACAGAGAGATTAACAGGATGAGCTGTTGTGGCCAACGTCTGCCTGTCCTGTGGTGGCCCTGGACTACTGCGCAAGCGGTCTCGCAGCGCAGGTGCCTGTGCCACACGTGCAGTTCACAAGCCCATTTGTAACTCCCATCTCCAGGAGGATGACACCCCAGCACATGGTGAAGGGTCCTTTGCCCAGCTGACGTCGATCACTTCCATCCTTTGCTGGCTCACGCAGGGAGGCACACAGCAGCCGGCAGCATCCCCAGGAGCCTGAAAAAGGCCAAGGCGTCAGTGCTGGTGTGAAAGTGGGGCTCCGTGTCCCCGTGTGCTGCCCCTGCAGCCTTGGTCAGTATCTCCCACCCTGCCCTGCCCCAGGTGCCCCACAGCAGAGTCCAGCTCTGCAGGTCCTGCTAGAGCAGGCACCTCAGACAGGAGAGCAGCAGGCTGCAGAGCTCTCATCGCTACATACATTCACTCCAGCAGGGACTTCGAGACCCAGGAGCCCCACCATTGAGGGCACCCCCTCACCATGATGCCCTGGTCACCAAGGGGAGTGAGGTCTGCCGCTGGCAGGGGGATACTGCTGCCTGCACTGGTGAGAGACATGTAGGCAGCACCCCCAGCACTGCACAGCTGCTGCTGCCTGCACAGGGCCAGACCACAGCAGTGCTGCACGCACAGACAAGGCTTACACTGGGGGCTGCCAGCGCCTGACAGCGGGAGGTGCTGACTGTCCAGCCACTGCTGCTAGTCTTCCCAGCAGTTCTCCTGGCATCTCTCTTCTGCAGCCATGGGCTAGGAGAAAGGCCTCGCCACCCGGCTGACTTTAAAGCTAACAGTTTAAGGGCTCCAGAGCAAGCTTCAAGCCACCTGCAAGGCACCAAGGATAAAGACATGAAACCTGTGGCCAAGGGCAGATTGCATTCAGTGAGCACCTGGGAAGAAGAGGCTTGATCAGGAGACTGGGATGGGTATACAGCATCCATCTCACCCTGCACCAACACCCTGAGCTTCCACCAGAGCTCTGCAACACCAGCCACAGCCAGAACTACTCATGAAACACACACATCTTCACCAGTTTGCTGAATTAATCTCCTGTCATCTGTTACTCTACATAGGAGGGGGAAAGAAGATGAATGGAAAGGGGGACAATCCTGGACTAGATATCCATGTACTCCCCATAGAAGGGGAAGTGGACTGTGCTCTGCACAGCCCCCTGTATGATTCCAAACAGGCCCAGCAGTTTGGAGCAGGGGCAGCTTGCAAGTATTTCCCTAGCTCTTCCTTGCCCTTGCCATTCCCCTAGTGTGACTGTGCCAACAGGGCAGTTTCCCAAAGCATCCAGTGAGCTGTACTGTCATTTCTTCATTTGCCTGTCTGGACAAGCACTTGCTGAGAAACACAGGTCCATTAGTGCCAGGTATCATTCCGCACTGCCTATTCATGGCTCACAAGCAGTGTGTCATGCAATGTGCACAAATCTACTCACAGACAAGTGCTCACACTCATGTTGCATCCCATGCACAGCAAAGAGCACTCAAACACTGGTGTTCTCTTTTGTCTGTATTTGTGCCTTATTTGGGCGCACACATGTGTTTTCCCCTCCGTGTACACATGCTATATTCCATGCACACATGCACGTCTGCTGTTACGTGTGCAAGCCCTGTGCACTTCATGCTTCAAGAAGCACAGGGTGTCCAGTGTGTCTGTACATTAGCAATTATGGTACAGAAGCACTAACATTCCTCCCCGCCCTTCTTCCCTGCCAGACCATCTGTTATTGAGACACCTCTGCACCAGCCACGTAAGGTTGTTGGCAACGGCATGGCTCCCTCTTGTAGTCAGGCCTCCTCATGCAGAAGCCATCCCTGCCACTGCTCCTGAATGGCCAGCTACTCTTGCCAATCTGGTGAGAACTCCTATGATCAAACATCCAAATGTTTAACACAGGAGGCTACACGCAGGGGAGCAAGATGACCTGTAGATGGGTGACAGGCTGAGTCATTCCTTCCCACTGTTAGAAGTCTCACAGGGTAAAGTAACTGCAGCCTTCCTCAATTTGACACAGATACAAAGGTCCCTGCTCTGGAGCAATGCAGGTGAAGCTGCCCCACCTGCAGAAGACTTCAGAGCAAGACACAATGACAATAACAGGACAGGCACAAATCTGTTTGATCACATTTACATGGATATACAGAATATACATATAACAAGATATAGCACACCATCGCCATAAACAGCATCTCTCCAAGTTCTCACATCTGGGAAATCAGTGGCTATTTTGGAGTAAGTTCCCAGACAACGGGAGATGTCAATAAACTGAACAGTACAAGCTGTGCCAGAGCAAGAGCTTCAGTCAGCAGTCAGGGCAAACAGCAAGTGTGGGAAGAACACCCTTATCCAGCATCTCAGCCTTTGCAACTCTGCAGCACTTTTGCAGGCAACGCCTCCAGATGTGTCCAAAGTTCAAGTACAAATGGGTTGTATCCAGTAAACACAAATGCCAGAAAGTGTTAACAAATAGTCCATTTGCACATGTTCTCAATGACTACTATGTAAGCAGAGCCTCGGGGAGAGGCAGTCACCAGCTGCTGAAGCCTCCCACTCTGCCCACCGTGACACCTTCTCCTCGCCATCCAGGCTACTCCATGCTAGTTTGTTCATAAAGCCAGAAGTCTGACAAAGCAGCAACGCCACTGCCATAGAGCAGTTCTGCGAGCACTGAAGACCTCCTGAACACACAGGGAGGCTGAAAGGAAGCCAGGCCAATGGTGCAAATCCAGGCACCATGAGCAACCCTGGCCTCCAAGGGTGCCAACTGAGCCAGCGGGAAGGCAGCACCTTGCCCCGGCTGTCTCCAGCATGCAGCACTCAGGGCACACAGCACCAACATGGGCTCCGCGAGGGCAGCAGGAGCCACCCTCATTCCCCTCATCACACCGTTTCACAGCTGCCTGCCAGCCGCAAGCTGCCGCTTTTCTCCACAACCCAACTGCCCAAGCCACATACAGGGGCCAGCCCTGTGTGCATGCAGGGGTGGCACTGCTACGCACTCAGAAACAGGCACTGTGCCTTTTCTTTCAGCCGTGCCAGTTACAGCACCTACACGGAAGTAGCTACATCCTGAACAGTATCAATAAACCAGTAAAAGCAACGATTTAAATGCACACACTAAAGCAAAGCAGAGAAGGAGGAGGGCACAAGAGGCCGTGGCAGGCAAGCGCAGCTCCAGCAGAGCGGCTCCCGGCTGGAGGGCAAGCTGGCCCACAGCTCCCACAGCAACGTGCTCGGCCCTGTTGCATCTGAGCACTCTGCAGAGCAGCCACCGCCAGAGAGGAGAGTCCCGCTGAGCAGCGCGGGCTGGGCTGCCGTTGCTGTGGGAACCACTACCTTGCGTTTAGAGTCTCAGCCATCATGCTGCTACTTACATTTAACAGATTTCTCATCTTACTGCTACGTCTGAAGTAACACGGTTTGCTAACGGCCATCTCATGTCCAAAGTTCAGCTACACTCAGCTGAGCTGTTCACATGCTCTTCCTATGGGCAGCAAAGGAGACGGGGTAACCCAATTTGCCTCGATTTGCCTCCAAGACACTTGGGTCCCAGACCATGCAGCCCAGCGATGCAACCTATTGCGAGTTCCGGCCCTCAGTACCCTGTGCCACCTAGAAACACTGACAGAGACACACCTGTGGCAAAGCTCATTGTCACAACCTGGATTCTTCTTCTCCACCCATAAATTCTCAGCCTGCTTCTCTTCTGTCACAGCTTCAGGACACAGCTAGGGTCAGCATTATGTCTCAGCAAGCACACCTTTCTTTCTGGCTGTTACATCTCAGACCTCTTCCAGAGGCAGTGGACCCAAGAGCCCCAAGTCCTGCTTGTGCCCTTGCAGCAGCCTGTACATGCTGCAGCAGGATTCAAAGTACCGCAGGGCTGCAAGGCACCACAGAAGATCCCGTGCACAGGAACCAAGACTAGCACATTTATTTCCCCATGTTATTGAAGACCTTTCACCAACAGCTGGAAGTGCCACTTCTCTCTGCCACACTTGAGCAGAGCCATGAATAACTA